TATTTACCCAGAACTCATTTGGAATGAGACCAAAACATCATACTCTGTTTTTTATGAGGTGGATGACATATTTGGTGACGTAGTTCAAAAATACTCCAGTTAAGGTATCCCTGTAGATTTTGCTGAATATGTAGTATATACCACAGGATGTGAAGAGCCTTTGAAAGAAAGATTCGTTGAGACTTGCTCCCAAAGTGATACCATACTCCAGCTTACAGAGGTCTGAAAGAAGATACTGTTCAGGATGCACAAGCACAGCAGTATTCTGCTGACATAACTAAAATCCGTTCCTTCACACACTGCTACTTAATTTTGATATAGTTTCTGATACAATTAACTTCACTTTCTCAACCTGTACTGCAGTTAAGTATGAATTGCTTTCTCACACTAGGTGTTKATCGCCTGATCCTGTTTGTTTTGTTGGTGCACACTGGCCCAACAAAAGAATTGTGATTATGAGTATCCCTCCCATGTTTCATTGTTAGTCTCTCAGTCTGTTATGGAAGTCATTATTGTTCTGCAGCCGTGAATCCTTAGAGATAGTAAAAAAATACATACTCTGGGGATGCACAGCCTTTGTTTGTATTTTCAGTAATCATGAGCAACAGAGGGGAAAATATATATGATTATATTAGTCTCCAAAGCCAAGAATATGGTATTTCCTTCTGTCATGAGCACCAACTGTGCATTGCTGCATGTGCAGTTTAGCAAGTGTAATCCTTACCTCCTTGCCTTTGTCTGGAGATGCTCAAAGGCTTATGGTAACGTATCTTTGCTTCTGTTTTTGTTGTGTACGGTGAGTGCAAGAGGCCTCTTTGACCAGTTTGGTTTAAATGAAGAGTCATGGAATGTTTGGTTAAAAATCTTGTCTGTGTCCATCATTCAGCAGTCTTGTTTTTTCCTTTACAGATTCCTCCCATCATGACTCGTCAGAAACAAGTGGGAAACCAGAGGTTGAGGTCACTCTTGAAGGTCAGTTTCCCAAGTCATTGATTTCAGTTGGTTGGGTATTTTTAAATGTGAAATGTGTTTTGCAAAGCCTGGATTATAAGGCACAGAATGAAGAGAATTGTGTGTGAGTGTTAACTGCAGTTTGAATTGCTCACTGACAGGTAAACATACGTAGTTGAGGAGTATTATAAAACCACAATATACTGAAGCATATTGGACTTACTGGGCTGGTTTTGAAATGATTCCTGACAGGATTTTGCCCCTTGTGTGTATTTTTCATGTGTTGCTAATGAAGAATAGTCATTGAAGAAACAAGATGTTATAACATTGAATAATTCTGCAGAACACGTTGCATAATAAGGAAATTGCAGTTATACGGAAAATTTGTTGTTAATCCTAGCTTCCTTAAGAATGGTACTGGATCAGAAAGGCTGTGTTGCTCCTGGTGTCAGTGAAGCCTCAAGGTATCTGTCTAATATCAATAGCTCTAAGATACCAGCATCTGTGCTTTACACTTCCCTTTCTTATGTAAATGGCCCTAAAGGCGCTAACCAGTGTCCCTTTTGTTCTCAGGCTCTCTCATCTTGGTAGGCGGTCAGGTGTGTTTCTTGTATTTGTGAATTAGTGTCCTGTAACTGCTTTGTAACACAGCTGAGACTGACCTTTGCATTGCCTGCTTGTGGAACTGGATTAAGACGACCCCATGAGCAATTTGGGGAGTAGGCAGGGCATTCAGGACGTAGTGGATATTTCTGGCATTACTTTCACCATTGTGCAATGCATCAAGGAAATAATTCTTACATTACGTCAATAGAAAAGTTTATATGAGAAGAGTCATTAAGTTCTGCACATATGTAAAGGTTTTTACCAGAAAAGTAAAAGTGCTGTGCAAAGCTTTTTCTGACAAGAGTATAACAGAAGTGTCAGATGCAAGATGTATCAATATGTAATATTATTCTTGCTATGTAAACCATACCGTTGGTGACATGGGTGCATGTTTTTCGGTATATGAAATTAGTTTTCTTTGTCGACTTTAACCATTTGTTTTCTCTGAGATGACAGGTATTGGTACTTGGGGTATCTAAAAAACTCATTACCACATAGATGGTAGGGCTGGATGGGGAAGTGATGGGGAAGTGACTGGCTAAGTAGGAAGTCTCTGACAAATTGCTAGGTTTGCTGTTTTGGTCTCTGTCCGTTTGTGTGTGTTTGAGGTAGAGTTGACCGGGTCAGTGAATTCCATTGGCGCCCATTAGTTTTACACAGGTTTGAAAGTGGGTTTAGAACATTTGATCTTTTCAAGACAAACCTTAGAACTGTGTTCTGGGAATGATATTACTTCCAGTTAGATCAAACATGTAGTCCATATCAGCACAATTTATGTTGTATTTGCTTTTGCTGTTGCATGGTCATTTTACGGTCATGCGATGTCCAGTCATGTTTCAGAACACNTGCTCACTGACAGGTAAACATACGTAGTTGAGGAGTATTATAAAACCACAATATACTGAAGCATATTGGACTTACTGGGCTGGTTTTGAAATGATTCCTGACAGGAGTTTGCCCCTTGTGTGTATTTTCATGTGTTGGTAATGAAGAATAGTCATTGAAGAAACAAGATGTTATAACATTGAATAATTCTGCAGAACACATTGCATAATAAGCAAATTGCAGTTATACCAAAAATTTGTAGTTAATCCTAGCTTCTCTATGTATGGTCCTGGATCAGAAAGGCTGTGTTGCTCCTGGTGTAAGTGAAGCCTCAAGGTATCTGTCTAATATCAATAGCTCTAAGATACCAGCATCTGTGCTTTTCACCTCCCTTTTTTATCTAAATGGCCGTAAAGGCACTAACCAGTGTCCTTTCTGTTCTCATGCTCTCTATCTTGGTAGGCGGTCAGGTGTGTTTCTTGTATTTGTGAATTAGTGTCCTTTAACTGCTTCGTAACACTGCTGAGACTGACTTTTGCATTGCCTGCTTGTGGAACTGGATTAAGACGACCCCATGAGCAATTTGGAGAGTAGGCAGGGCATTCAGGACGTAGTGGATACTTCTGGCATTACTTTCACCATTGTGCAATGCATCAAGGAAATAATTCTTACATCACCTCAATAGAAAAGTTTATATGAGAAGAGTCATTAAGTTCTGCACATATGTAGAAGTTTTTACCAGAAAAGTAAAAGTGCTATGCAAAGCTTTTTCTGACAAGAGTATAACAGAAGTGTCAGATGCAAGATGTGTCAATATGTAATATTATTCTTACTATGTAAACCATACCGTTGGTGACATGGGTGCATGTTTTTCAGTATGTGAAATTAGTTTTCTTTGTCTGCTTTAACCATTTGTTTTCTCTGAGGTTACAGGTATTGGTAATTAGGGTGTCTAAAAAACTCATTACCCCATAGAAGGTAGGGCTGGATGGGGAAGTGACTGGCTAAGTAGGAATTCTCTGACAAATTGCTAGGTTTGCTGTTTTGGTCTCTGTCCRTTTGTGTGTGTTTGAGGTAGAGTTGACCTGTTCAGTGAATTCCATTGGCGCCCATTAGTTTTACACAGGTTTGAAAGTGGGTTTAGAACGTTTGATCTTTTCAAGACAAACCTTAGAACTGTGTTCTGGGAATGATATTACTTCCAGTTAGATCAAACATGTAGTCCATATCAGCACAATTTATGTTGTATTTGCTTTTGCTGTTGCATGGTCATTTTACGGTCATGCGATGTCCAGTCATGTTTCAGAACACAATGTTGTTTTCCTTAGGGAGTGCATAAGCTGCTTTGTTTTCTGGTACCTTGTGCTTCGCACAGTCCCTCTTGCACAAGTTGTTACTTCATAGGTATGAACAGGAGCTTTCTCAAGTTACTCAGATAAGTAATTTGTTGCAAAATTTGGTGGCCTGATAAGCACAGTTCCTTAAATCAGTTAGAACTTTGAAATTCAAAGCAGTTCCATTTCTCTACGTGAAATCCCGGGATATAAAGCAGTGATTTTCCTTTCTTTCTTTAAGATGATGATGATGGCTTCCTTCCCCCTCACAAAAGTCCAAAGAGCACCAAGTCAATTAAGGAAGCTGCCAGTACTGGGGAACGAAAAACAGAGGAGTTAAATTTTGGTAAGATTACATTAAAGATGATTTTTTCTCTCTGCTTTGTTTTATAAAAATGTTTTGGGAAATTTTGCGCAGCCAGAGTAAGATATTCCAGTGGAAGCCTTCACTTTAGAGCCATGGTCTCTGTATAGAGGTATTGCAATGATATCATCATAATCATAGAGTACCTCTGTTGTTTTTTTCTTATTTGATGTGACCAAGTAAATGTAGACACAGAAATCTGGTATCTTTTGATAGTGTTTTTTTTATGATTCCTTATGTGGTGTTCTCCCCAGAAATGCCTCCACTTCCATTACTCCGGTTAAAGGTGCTTGCCATGAGACTTTTTGSGGTCCTGTCTCTCTCCTTTATTCTGGGGGTTTGGTTTGGTTTCTGGACACATAGCCCATTAATTGGGACGCACAGCCTTTGTTTGTATTTTCAGTAATCCTGGGTAACAGGGGATAATGTAAATGATTGTATTAACTCTACAAAGCCAAGAATGTGGAATTTCCTTCTGTCATGAGCACCAACTCTGCACTGCTGCACATGCAGTTCAGCAAGTRTAATCCTCACCTCCTTGCCTTTGTCTGGAGCTGCTCAAAGGTTTATGGTAACATATCTTTGCTTCTGGTTTTGCTGCGTACAGTGAGTGCAAGAGGCTTCTTTGACCAGTTTGGTTTAAATGCAGAGTCATGGAATGTTTAGTTGAAAATCTTGTCTGTGTCCATCACTCAGCAGTCCTGTTTTTTCCTTTTCAGATTCCTCCCATCACGAGTTATCAGACAAAAGTGAGGATTCTGAGATTGAGGTCACTCTTGAAGGTCAGTTTCCCAGGTCATTGATTACAGTTGGTTGTGTATTTTTATATGTGAAATGTGTTTTCCAAAACCTGCATTACTAGGCACAGAATGAAGAGAATTKTGTGTGAGTGTTGACTGCAGTTTGAATTGCTCACTGACTGGTAAACATACGTAGTTGAGGAGTATTATAAAACCACAATATACTGAAGCATATTGGACTTACTGGGCTGGTTTTGAAATGATTCCTGACAGGAATTTGTACCTTGTGTGTATTTTTCAAGCATTGGTAATAAAAAAGTGTCTTTGAAGAGACTAGATGTTATAACATTCATTCATTCTGCAAGAACACATTGCTTTATAAGTACACTGCAGTCATATGTAAAATCTGTAATTAACCCTAGCTTCTCCAAGAATCGTACAGGAACAGAAAGGCTGTGTTTGGTCTCTGTCCGTTTGTGTGTGTTTGAGGTAGAGTTGACCTGTTCAGTGAATTCCATTGGCGCCCATTAGTTTTACACAGGTTTGAAAGTGGGTTTAGAACGTTTGATCTTTTCAAGACAAAATTTAGGAACTGTTTGCTGGGAGTGATATTACTTCCAGTTAGATCAAAAATGTAGTCCATATCAGCACAATTTATGTTGTATTTGCTTTTGCTGTTGCATGGTCATTTTACGGTCATGCSATGTCCAGTCATGTTTCAGAACACAATGTTGTTTTCCTTAGGGAGTGCATAAGCTGCTTTGTTTTCTGGTACCTTGTGCTTCGCACAGGCCCTCTTGCACAAGTTGTTCCTTCATAGGTATGAACAGGAGCTTTCTCAAGTTACTCAGATTTCTTGGAAAATTTGGTGGCCTGATAAGCRCAGTTCCTTAAATAATTAGAACTTTGCAATTCAAAGCAGTTCCATTTCTGTACATGAGTTCCTGGGACATAAACCAGTGATTTTCCTTTCTTTCTTTAAGATGATGATGATGATGATGACTTCCTTCCCCCTGAGGAGAGAGCAAGGAACACCAGGACGRCTGATGAAGCTGCCAGTACTGGGGAAGAAAATGCAAAAGATTTCAATTTTGGTAAGGTGACATTTAAAGATAATTTTGTCTCCATGGTCTGTTTTATGAAATTGTGTTGGGTAATTTGCGCAGCTAGAGCAAGGTATTTCAGTGGAAGCCTTTTCTTAGGAGCCATGGTCTCTGTGTATATGTATTGCAGTGATATAATGATCATCATAGGCTACTTCTGTTGTTTTTTGTTATTTGGAGTTACTATGTAAAGATAGACACAGAAATCTGGTATCTTTTGATAGTTTTTTCATGATTCCTTATGTGGTGTTCTTCCCARAAATGCCTCCACTTCTATTACTCTGGTTAAAGGTGCTTGGCGAGGGACTTTTTGCAGTCCTGTCTCTCTCCTTTATTCTGTGGTTTCAGCTGATTTCTGGACACATATATCTGTCTGTTTTTGTTAGGGTCTTTGCTGTTGCAATATGTTTTTTGGCACAGTATTTGAGATCTTTATTAGGATTTCTGGAAATTTAGTTCAGTTGAGAAATTTCGGTGGACTCCCGTCTTACATGTTTTTTGTATTACTGATGTCAATTTTATAAAAAATGTGTAAAATTTTGAGAGCTGTGTTTGTTGAAGATCATTAATACTGATAGGCCAATTGGCATCTATCATTTTTTTCGGTTTGGTCAGGAGAACATAATGACAGCATTACTAGAGGACAATATTGAAGAGTTAGTACTGTAGAAGCTTTTGTTATATTCATTCCCTCAGTAGAAAAYGTCATGTAATCCTTGAAGGGCAGCAGTTTTGGAAGGGCATAACCAATATGTTTGATTGCAGATGGCGAGGAAGYGAAATAAAATGTTAGGATGATGAAAGTTTTAGTTAGCTTGCAATGTAGAATCAGCAGTTTGAAACTATCTCAGAGCTTACCTGCTCAGTGTTGCTCTTAGTTGACTTAGTAGATCTCTCAGGGCTGTTTTCAAGAAAGTWTTATTTTGAGCTTGCTGCTGTGTAGTTAGASTACAGTGATTTGCATCTCACAGGTTATTCAGATATCTTTACTCCTGAGCTTCCTAAATTGTACTGAGGAACTTGTCCCTTATATTCACTTTGACATTCACATACAGTAAGTGGCCTACAGTATTGCAGGATCTGCCTAAAGCAAAATGAATTTGAGAAGTTTTGGAGAATGACCCATCATTTGCTCTAATGAAAAAAGAGCAGCTGTTGGTAGTTGCAGTACTGCTGTTTGGACATTTCAGAGGACTTTGCACCTTTAGCAYTGAGCTCAAATATTAGATAGGAGAAAGGAGGTGGTTAATCTGTCATGAGTAGCTGCCGAAAGACAAAGGTACGTAAGTTCAGAAAGCAGAATATGTGCTTGAGAGAGAAATCTGTYTCATCTGATACGCAATTCCAATGTTTTACACAACCSTGRTGASACCAAGATGTTTGAGTTGGAGGTCYTTCCTGTACTTCTTGATTGAGCAGGTACCTGAAGTGGCCTGAGAATAATGTGCTGTGTTCTTAATTTTGTGGAAACACAAAAACAAAGTGGAAAAGAAAATAATTTTAACCAACATCTGGTAAAATGTTTGATCGAAATTTATAATCTTTGGGAAGTGAGATTAGATTTCAAAAACATTGTGAACCAACTATTTGAGGTTAAAAATACTGTTGTGGAAAGGAATGGACATCGTCACTAGAAGTCTTTTTCCATGTTTTCTCACTTGTGTAATAGATTTTATAAAAAGCTCAGAAGCTTCAAGTTGTGTCTTGCAGTTGTGTTAAACTATTTTAGTGGRAAAAAAGTCCCCTTGTTGTCTCACAATGGCAGTGATGGGAAGTATGTATGTTTTTTCCCCATTTTAGCACACTGTTGAGCACAGGTTTTTCCAGCCTGCAGCATGCTTGGAATTGCTCTGTTTTCTGTGACATGTGTGTGAGTTGTGTGTTTTCTATTTATTTCCTCAGAGTTCTCTGGCATGATGATGGGAATAGGAGTGTGCCTAGTACCTGAGCATCACTGTGTGTGCAATGTGCAGGTTGCCCCTGCTGTAGTGGGTCTTTTCTGGAGCATGTCCCAAGGAGAGAAAGGCATGAAATTGAGTAGACYATGGACAGATGGGGAAAATTTTCAGGATTGTTATTTAATTGGGATGATGTTTCCCATATATTATAGGGTGTTTATACAGGAATAGAAGAAAGCAACCATCTGTCTTGGTGCCTACGGGAAAACTAAACTGCTTCTTAGAGTGTCAGCTTAGTGCAAGGCAGCATGGCAAAACACCCTTTCTCTGATTCATGCCCACATTTGAAGCATTCTATCCTGTTGATATCCAGGAAATWACGTTCAGAAAAGACAAGCTTAAAAATGGGCCCCAAAGTTTTTTACATTGGTCTGAGAATGAATATTGAAGCCCTTTTGATATGGACTCAAAATTCAATCCTCTGTCTTGTATGATACAAGAATTTTTTGACAACTGGAGGTGTAATGGCTKGAATGGCCTAATTTTTTGACCTTTGTAGTTACTAGATGCAAGTCTTTGGAGTAAGAAATAAGTTGTAAGTACACTTAACTCCTTTTTAAAAGGCCGGGCAACATCTTGTCCTGGTGCTTTAAAGACCCTAGAAATGAAACAAGACAYATTAGAGATAATAATTGTTAGTATAGGAGGTAATATAAAAGTTGGTCTTTATTGGAAACCTCCAAGGAGCAGATATGAAAAAATGTCCACACAAGCCCACCTCTCCACAGGATGAATAYGGTTTTAAAATTTTAGCAAATTAGCATAATTGTCAAAAAAGCACCAATTACAGATGTAAGAGGTGAGTTAATATTCCCCAAGTTCAACCCTTTCTAAATCCTTCCCCCTCAGATGAAAACTAAACCTTATTTGTKCAATTATGTCTCGAAGAGCTGTTTTTGAGCCTTGGCTTCCACAGAGAACCAAGATAGGAAAGAGGCCCCTGGAATCTGTTTGGCCTTTCTGCCTAGGGAATTGTATGGAAAATCCCTGGGAATAGATACTAATACAATAATAGGCTACAAACACATGTGTAAAGAATATAGGGAATATATTTTAAAAAAGGAAAAAAAATAATTTTGGCCTCAGTACCATGTACGAAGGAGTTGTATGATTTTTCTAAAAGCATGGAGATAATAAAAAACCCAGTGAAAATGTGTGCTCTGTTACAGGCAGAAAATTAGGTGTTAAAATTCTGCCTTTTAATCCAGCTCTCCATGAAACACAGGACTGGATTTGGATAACTTCTGTCTTGCAGCTGTGTCTTCTTTTGGCAATAGGATTTGTGGGGATAKTTTGTAACACCTGGACTTGGGGAAATGCTTGATTAATGTAGAGGATGGCAGATGCCTCCTGAGCCAGGTACTTGAACAGATTTGCACCAAAACAACTCCATGTACTTTCTGTAAGCTTTATCAAGCTTCACTTATTAAGCTTTCTGGCACTCAATTTTGATAATTATCAAMAACAGCTACAAAGTGCCTTTACCTCTGGTGGCAGCAAGAGCTGCTGACTGAGCCATCAAAGAAAGAAACCATTTTTGGAAGTTACTTCAACCTGGTTTGTGTTGTGGKTTTTTTTAACTTCACTTAATATACAAGTTTGGGAGGTAATCTGAAACATTTTATTCTGTCTTTTTGTTTTAATGTATCCATGCATTTTAAGGTGTAGCCTGCACTGTGCTCAGCAGGCACCTGTTTGCAAGTGAGCTGTAAAAGTACGCATTGCATATTTAATTTAGTGGTAACACGGATTTTAGAAGAGATTCTCAGTTTTGTTTGTAGTCTGACATGTCCTCCTCTTTTCTTTGCAGACAAATGGAATTCGCGGATTACAGGCTTGAGAAAGGCAGTTGAAGAGGTGTTTGAAAAAAAATACGGTATGTGTTACACACCTTTCCAAGCCATTGCCTGTAGTCCTTTGTCACTGTTAGTGACAGACTGTTCTTCCACATKCATCTTGTTGTTGACTCATGAGAACACTAGAACTGGCAACACCAAGGGGCTAAATATTTTTAGAAACCAAAAATTGGGGGAAGTAGTTTTTTTTGATGAGCAGAGTAATTTCAAAATGGGATGTCTCGGATTGGCAACAAAGTGTGAAACTTGRTTTTATTTTTCAGTTGTGCTCAGTCTTCTGGAGCACCTGCATGCTCACATATCTTGGGCACTCACATTTGAAAGAGCTGTCCTTTTTCTGTAATTACATTGAGTCTTTCMGTGAAAGAATCTTTTTAGAATGGCACCAGAGAGAGGCTGCCACTCTTTGATTCTTTTTCTTTGATTATGATAATTTTACAGTGAAMCAAAAATTATATATATTAATGGCTCTTGGAAAGAAAAAAGCACCAGATGTGTTAGACTTTGGAATTTGTCTCCAAATGCTGCTGATATATTTTGTGTCCACGTATCACAAACTAAAACAGCATCAGCAAGGATTTAAAAATAAATGCTGGTGTTCCTCTGCCACAAAAAGTGGAAGTGCTTTCAGAATGGACCTTGTGATTTGGAATTACTACATGTTTGGGTTGTGACTACCATCTGACACTTGAACAGCCCACTGMAAGCAACTTGCACCAAGGTAATACAGTTCAGAATCTGATTCACTGTATTTTAATTGCTCTAGAAAGGAGCATCATTCTTAGTGAATTGCTTTAATTTTGATTTTGGTGTTTGCACATAGCATACTTGGTTGAAGAAAAGTATTTGGTTTAAGACAATTTAAGAAGTAGACRCTATGGAATGAATTGCCTCCCTATATGGTATTAACCAATCCCTTTCCAGCAATAAGGGACGAATACTAGTAGATGTAAGTGAAAAAAYAACAATTTAATAACAAGTGAAGCAGAAACAAGCAAAAAGTAAGAGTACATAATCTTTAGATACAAAATTGCTGAAACTCTGGAAGACCATGGCAACAATGGGAAATCAAGAATGATGGGGTATGTCCCTCCCTTTCCAAGATGGAAGCCACCATAACCAACCAAATCATGGCTTGAAACACAAAGGGACAATGGCTGCAAACCCTCCTGAGGAGGGAGAAGCTTATGAGGCAGCTCTAGTKGCAGATGGGAATCCTGGGGTTGCTCGGGGAGCTCTGGCCCCACCGTGTCAACCTCCAATTCGTTGTCGGTCCACGTCACTGTCTCACGGCCTGGTTCTGCCCACCATTGAACTCCTCTGGTGCTGGTGCTGCTGTTTTGGAGCTGCTGGCACATTGAAKGGAGGGGCAGTGATCTTCCCAAGCAGTGGGAGCAGCAGCCTCCTGGCATGGCTGGCTCCAGCCGCCAGGCTGCTGATGGGAGTGGTGAAATTCTCTCTGAAATAGTTTTTGATTGCACAGTGCACTTCCTGAATTGCTTCTGTTGCCAGTGGCAAGAAAACAAAGTCAAGAGGGCAACAGCCAAATGGCAGGAGAGAGTTTCTTTGCCTGAGGCAAAGACGAAGAGGCCAGAGAGGCAAAAGCCATGGGACAAAARGAACCTGAGCTGCTTGGGAGAGTTGACTTGAAATGCACCCGTGGCACTGTCCCCAKCCCGTTCTGTTTTCCAGCTGCAGGGTCTTAAAGAGASMGTAACARTTTTTGGGCACAGATAGATATGGAATGCAGTTACATTTCGGGTTACCTACAACACCAGCCTAAAAATCTCCTGCAGAGTCTGTTGAATGTTGAGCTATTTCTGACTTTCTGTAGCAGGCAACATGTAATTTAAAATTATCTCCTTTTCCCTGTGGATGACAACATGTCATTGATTCACGTAACAATTATCAGACTATCTTTTTCTATCTATATGGGCATGCAGTCTTCCATTTACGGAAATGAGTAATCAGTGTCTAGAATTCCCAGAATGTTCTTCAAATTTGCTGGCTTCTGTAGCTCCAAAGTGTTCTGGCATTACCAGTTTCTGTACTCTATTAAAACTGACGTGTCTGAAAAATATAGCTTTGTGTTTTAGATGGGATTACCTTTTAGTGACTCAYATATACAGACTAATTTATAAAAATAAAGCTACATTCAGAAGGTTTTTTATGCAAAAACATGTAAAAATCTAAGAAGCCTCACTGCAGACTGTGATGCTGATGATGTTCTTAGGCTTTCTAAACAGTATTGGCTAAAACATTTACTGATTTAAGAGAAGTAAAGACTCTCACATGTGAAAACCTTCTTGTTGTCAGTTACTTATTTAAACAGACAGGATTTTTGTTACTCTGAAGGTGTTCTTACTTTGTGCTGGGTAATGATCTGGATTTTAGTCATGTTCTTGGTCAGTTGCCCTGAGGCTTGTCTGCTGGATTTATTGAGATTTTCACCATGTGCCACAACAACCTCCAGGGCTCAGAAAAACTTCTGTTATTTTCTTGAAAGAGGTWCACGACTGCAATAAAAATCTACATTGATGAAGGACTCATGTGTTACACAACAGAACTGTTGATGATTGCTCAAGAATTCCTTTGGCATGTATTTAGGCACATAGAGTTTCATTAGTGTTTTTGGTAAAAGCCATCTTCAGGGTCATGYCCATCTCTATGAATCTGTTCTGTTTCCAGTTTTGGTCATCTTATGTTTTCCAGTTGAAACCAAGTCTAGTTGAAACACCGTTCTTCTTGCAGTTTTCTAAGATTTTGATACTTGATTCTGTTCAAAATAGAAGACAGAGATACAGCGTTTTCAAAGCTTTCTTTTTTTTGTGATAAGCATTACTAGAAATACTCTGATTTCAAGTGGTTGAAAGAGTGTGTTACCCAAGTGCCTTTAACACCTAAATTGTTTTATTCCATTAAAGAATTTGCAAGTTAGTGAGAGCATTTTGCATAGACAATGTCTGAACCACGGACCACTTGGGTATTATGTTAAGTTGCTTGAAAAGGTGACCTGAGTAGTTTTTCTTTCAGAAAGACTGCCACAACATCCCTGTACTCTAATTTGGGCTTAGCTTGTTTTTTTCTCACAACAAATAATCTTTTGCATCTATCTTCCATATCAAAACAGCAGAATGTACCAAACTATTTGCAGACCAGTCATATGGTAATAGAGAATTCTTGTTGCATGGCCTACAAAATTAATGTACCTTGTGAGGATAAGGAAATCAGYCCTTTTGGTATTTGCAAACTCTTTTTTTTTTCTCCAGTATTTGCCAGCCTGATAATAGTATGRTTCTCATAAAGAAATGCACTGAGATTATTTTCCAGCTATGGCTGAGTCAGTTTCTTGCTTTTCATTTGTTTTAAAGATTTCATTACTTTTACAGCAGTGTTAGAAGTGTATTGTTTAGTTTGTTAGTGGCTCTTTGGATTTCTAAAATACCTGGAAACATTAGGAATTTACTGAAAAGAAGGGATGTGTGCCCCTATTCCAAGGCATAAATGACTCTTGTAAGCTAACAGTAGTGACAAATAATAACAGAGCTAGTGAACTGAAACATGCTTGGTTTATAATTAAGCCTAGATAACTTAATCTTTCAAAATGCTCTATTACGCAAAACCAAAATAGTGAGAATCTTCACTCTAATGGGTGATAGGAGAATCTTCACTCTACATAATATCSTATGTATTAAATGTTTACATAAAGGGAAAAGAGGATGATTTGCATATGTATGCAGGGCTGCAGCTTGTTTACTGTGAATCAGAGTGATTTTGGTATTAAACAAAAACATTCCCACACAACGTGAATGCTTGCACGTTTAAATGTGCTGAGGGGTTATTGCCTGTATGCTAAGTATAGTGTTAGCATATCAGACAGGTAACTGACTAGAGCCACAAGCTAGTCCAATGTTTTTATTCTTCTTTTTCCTTAAAGCTCAAGCTCTAAAAACAGAAGGTCCAGTGTCTGTCCCATAYGCACTTTTCCAGTCACATGCACGAGACTTATGTGTGGAAGGGCTGCCAGAAGGAGTTCCCTTCAGGCGTCCAACCACGTACGGCATTCCTCGACTGGAGAGGATACTTCTAGTAAAAGASCGGATCCGGTTTGTGATTAAAAAGTAAGGAATTTTTCATTTTTGTCTCTACGTTACTCAGTGTTTTCTGCTTGTTCCATTTTGGTTTGTTATTCTTCAAGGAATTCCAAACTGGTTTCTACTAGTCCATTAATTTATAGTACTAAGGAGTAGTTTTTAGTTGATGTTCACTTTGATAAATTCTGCTTTTCAGACCAGTGGAACACTACAATGGTGGTGGAGAGATCTCTGAACTGCCCTCTTCAATATTATGGACTTCTTCTCAGGGGAAGATTTCTTTGTACTGTTCAAATATCTGCAGTGGCAGTACATGTTGAAAGCCACTGACTTTGGGATATTTGATCCTGTCACAGGATCCTGGCCTGATTTCAGCTTATGGTTTGTTGTTTTTTTCTTGCCAGAATGTTGTATCAAAGTGTCTATAGGTGTATTTGTATAAAGCATGTCCCAGGGCTGGCTTGAGAACACATAGCTACTGGTTCCTGTGGTTTAGTTGGATGTGTGTCCTTGGTGTCTGGAGGTAGATCAGGTCGTGTAAATGAAGGAGACCTTAGGTRGGGACTGATTGAAGCTTAAAGGAAGCTTCAGTGAGTAACAGCTGGTGTTTTCCTGTGTTCAGTGGTGTAGGGCCTAATCCAAGACTTATTTTAAGTGGATGAGAATCTGCTGGTTGCAATGGTCAGACTCAGAATTGGAGCCTGACAGCCCTTGCTCCTGTACATGCTGCCTTTACCAAGGATACTAGTTGCTTGCATTTGGGAGGAACATGGTCTGTTTCTACCATCCTGCTTCTAGAGATGCTTCTAGATAACTRGAAAAGACGAAGAAGTATAGATCTACCTTTTGTCTCACTTAAAATCAGACATCATTCATAGATTTTAATATTTATACAATGCTGGCTCCTGTTTTTGTCAGATATGTCTTAGTTGCTGACASAAATTAATTTATGGTGTTCATTGATCTTGGAATGTGTGGTTACCAGAGCAGCTAAAAAACTAGTTTGGCTCTGTGAGAAACATCAGAATGTTTAATTTTTTGTTTGTTCAACTGTGGATAAAATTAGATACATTTTGGAAACAGAAGTGTCTGCTTTGAAGTTTACTTTTTTAAAGGTTAAATTTTTAAATTGGATCTTTGTTTCTGATTAAGTGTGTCTTAGAACTCAGGGGTAAGTTTAATAGAACCTGTATGTTACCATGAAACATTACAGCTCTGGCAGATACGGGTATCGGGCATGAAAATGTTTTGTCAATAGGTTTCCAACCAGCTCTTACAATACTTTGGTGCTAACTGGAATTTAGTGTTGGGGATCATGATGCCCCCTGTGAAGTTTTTTGGTTTTGATCCTCCAATAAGTAGTAACTTGAAGCTGTAACTGGAGGCTAGTTTCTCAAACTGTTTGTCACTGTTGAAACACGTATCTTAAATCTTCCAGGCCTGAACTTCTGAATTTGGCAGATGTTTCAGAGAACAAGACCACTTCAAAAGGTAGGTTTCCAAACRTATTCTACAAGCACATTATGCTATTCCTATTTGTCAGTGTTAGTGGTGACTACAATCTGCGTTTACTAATAATACATTGCAAGCAGTTCCTCTGATTTAAAATTTTCTTCAGCTATAGAGTTTTCCATTGGTTATCCAAGCTGGTGTTACTTACGCTGTCAATGGACTTCAGCTTGACAGAAAGAAAAACAATGAACTAGCTAGGTGTTAGTCTATTGAGATATAGAGAAAAGGCAGCAGTTTCCACAGCTGATAGAGTTTACTGGAGAGGGAAACTGTACCATGGAATAATTGCTTATATATGGGATTTTCCAAAGTTAGATCAACTGAAGGGCAGTGGTGAGCATAGTGACATTTTTTACTACAGAATCTGATTTTCGTGGATAGTGYGGCTACATTTGCACATAGTAGTGCAAAGATAATGCATTCCAACCACTTCCCATAAATGAATACTTTTCAGCAGATGCATGCACTTACATGTCTTGTTTTTATTGAGTACCCGTCCAAAGGCAGAAAAAATGACCATGTCAAAATAAGACTACAGGAATAGATTTTTGCTAACAATTGCACGTATGAACTCATTTTCCTTCAAGTTGCTAGAAAGAAGTTTAGCATGGGAAAAAAAACAGTTTTGAAAGAATTGTATTTTTGTTTAGGCATTAGTTAGTAAATTCTTTTTCCAGTGTTGTTTTTCTTTTCATTTGAATTCTATTGTCTGTTGGGCTTCAGGGCATTTTTTTAAATTGTCCAATTAAACCAAGTGTTAAAAGCTTGTATGCATTAAACAGCAGTTACGAACAAATTGCTCCCAACTCCAAAATGCTAACTGGCAGCCTCACCCTYGCTGAACTGTGAAGTTGTAGTAATACCAGAGAAGTCCTTAGTTCAGACAAAGCAAGCATATAGACAGTAGTATTTGCACTATGCAGCACTGTTATGTTGTATTATATACTCATAGTCTTCTGTTTTAAAAAGTTGTATCAAAGACTGCATTAAAGTGAATATTAAAGATCTAAATTAAGCAAAGCCATTATACCATAAGGATGTCTATTTAATGTGTGTGTAGGAATAAAACTTTTCCTGAAGTAAAAGTTAAATTAGTGTATTGTGTCTTAATAGCCTRCTGTTCTTTCAAGCACAAAATTTGTCTACAGAAATAGTAGATAGGCTGGTAACTGAGCCCTACCCTTAACTGGACTCTTATGTGGGTTTTCAAATTATCCCTTTTTTCTGTTGTTTGAGTCATTTATAATATGGTTTTACTTATTATCAAGATAAAGCAAGTTCATTGCTTATATCATAAAACTCCTGTAAAAAAACAGTGGTAATCAATTTTTATGACATAGGGTTCTGAACAGTTACTTATGTTGTTTGTCATCACCAACTATCATAACTAGAGATAGTTACATGTGACCTCTGTATCCTCTCTTAAGAGAAGAGAGCACCTCTGGAAGCTGTCAATAATATCTCACAGAACACAGAAGACAGCAGCTGTCTGAGCCTCCTTTCCTGCAGTTCTCTTCCTGTTTGGATTCCCTCTTTCCCAGTAGCTCATTATCTCCTCTGCTGCTCCATGTGTCCACTGCCATCTCAGGAGACAGAGCTATGGAGCACCAGCCCTTGCTCTCTCAGCTSCTTGTGACTCCAAGTCTAATTTCTGCTCTGTCCATAGGCCCTGCTAGTGTATGTCCCCAGCAGGAAGGGAATGGGATGAGTATGGAACCTGCATTTTGACTGGCAGAGGAAAAGATTATTTTTATTTGCATTCCTGTGGGAAGCAGGCTGGTCAGGAAGATTTTGTGGAACGGCCTTTTTCCTGAAACTCTGAGAACACTGATACTGGCTGCAAGACAGACCAGTCAGATCTCAGGAATGACTGGGGAAGTGTGAACTGGTGCTTATGCTGATAGCCCAGTCTATTGCAGTGCAGTTATGGGACACGGGTCATTGCTTTTGCATTCTGACTAAACCCACAGCATGGCAGCTGGCCAGTGTCTTCTTTGAGACTGGGAAGCTTCACTTGTTGGTCACAAAGACATATTCAGGAGAAAAAAGTGATTTGTATTACATGTGCTTTGATCTCTTGTGTCGCGTTCCAACCGTGGTGAATTGCAAGGAGTTCTTTTATTAATGGACGGTCAAGAACAAAATGAAGTCAACCGAGACAAACCTTGTATCTGAGAACCGTTTATTGGTAAAGAAAAAATGCGGGGAAGTAATTGCCCACCAAAGTGGGCTGGAAAAGACAACAAAAGAGAGAGGAAAATGGAAAAGGGATGGGGGGAGAGAGAGACAGAGGGAGAAAGCGGGCGTTACCACCAGCAGCACCGGCACGGGCAGCCGATGTCCACATGACGGGTGAGCGCTGCCGGCTGGCGAGGGAGCACAGCTCGGGGAGAAGTGCGGCTCCCACGGCCCCGGACTGCCGGACACGCGGTGAGTGAGTGGACACTCGGGCAGGAGCTCCGGGACCCTGGATGGAGTCGGGGCGAGGATCGCGGAGCGGGCGAGGTCGGAGGCAGCAGTGGCTCAGGCAGGACAGGCGGTGGCTGGGTCAGGTGAAGGAGTGGGGTGAGGCAGATGCTGCACTCGAGGCTTGGAGGGCAGGGGGCGTCCGGCCAAGCACCCAGCAGGAGGGAAGGCAGATACCTGGGGACAGTGAGAGCTAGAGAGGGCAAAGACTAGGCAGACCCCAAAGTCCTGGCCGAAAGTTTGTTGCTAAAAGCAGAGTAAAACTCCCACAAAGTCCAGACCCAGAAACTCATGGTTAAAGCACAAAAAAATATCCACAAAGCTCAGACCCCTAAGTCCAGCTCAAATGGCTCATGAAGGCAAAGCTTGTGGTGCAGTTACTTTTTATACCCGCTGGCTCCTCCTAGAGCCTGCCTGCTGACCGGGAGACCATTGGTCCAGTCCAACCTTCTTAATGCTGTCCATTGATGGAGCCCTTCCACCATCTGATTGGAGAAATGTCTCTGGCGGGAGCAGTGTCTCCAGGTGCCCATGTGAGCTGTTGCCTGGCTAAATCCCCCCAGAGACAAGGTTTCTCCCATCTCCTGGTTGCCTCCTGCAAGCTGCACGTGTGCTCTCCTTCTGTACATGCCTCTGACAACCATTGTTGAGGCAAACCAAGATTAAAATGGCTTCTCATACCTTGAAAAGTTTTCATCCATACGCATACCTAATTCTGCACTGAATATCAAGATAATTCTTCAGGAAATGAAACTGCTGAAAAACTTATTCCCATCTCCAAGTGGAATCTGCAGTTTGGAGGTGGATGATGAAAGCATTGCAGTTCTTCAGGCCAATACACTGTGTGTATTTTGTAGCAAGAATTGATGTCACTGGTTCAGTGGAGTTTTGTTCAGTTTTAATATTCTGTCCTTCTTTTATGATCATTTTTTTCTAGCTCCAAGTTGAATTCATACTTCTTACACACAGAAGTGTATTACCTGAAAATGAAGGGTGATTATGCATCCTACAAACTGAACAACTGAAAATATACCAAAATAATTAGGGAATGTTTCTTTTGTTCTGTGTCAGTCTCAAATACAGGGAAAGAGGAGTGGTGTGCTAGAGTCACCAAACTGAGAAAGATGGTAGATCAACTTTTCTGTAAGAAGTTTGGTGAGTACAGTATTATTATTATTTTGTTTTCTTTATGGCTTTTTGTTTCTTGAAGGTTGTTTTCATTCCTTCCTTTGAACATCTGTGTGAATGAGACCCTTGTTCAGATTTTTTTTTTAAATATCTTAAATTGTGGCAGTTGAGTGACAAAGTTTTAGTTTACTGCTTATACAAGGTAAATACAAAGTTTAAAAATAATTATAAGTCTCACATATACAGCTCTTGTGATCGCTCTCAATTCTTTCCTATTTGGGTTTTTTTCCTTTGATGGTAAATAAAACAACCATTTACTTATATTTATGTCCACTGCAATATCGTCATAATTAGTATTAAAATACTTCTGGGTGAATTTTTATGTTCTGTCTAATATGAAAAAATAGTCAACTTCTTAAGAGCTTGAATAAAATTTTCATGATGCTCTATATTAGATTAACAACTTTGGATAAAAGAAATATATTATGCCCCAATGAGCAGTTTGGTAATTTCCAGTCTAGTATTATGACTGCCCAACAGCAACATCATACAATATGGCAAATATTTTACGTTTTTGATGTGCTGAGACTTGGGTTCTGGTGGGTTTAGATGTCCTGCATTGTACCAGATTTTAAGATCACAATTGCAACAGCCTGAGGAATTGGTATCAGCTAGCTTTTATTGAAGGTTGATTGGTCAGTCTGTCCAGTTACTGAATATATTTTGTTTCAACAGCCAAGGCCTTGGGGAGCACCGAGCCCAAAGCTGTTCCATACAAGAAATTTGAAGCTCATCCAGCTGACCTCTATGTTGAAGGGCTGCCAGAGAACATCCCCTTTAAGAGTCCCTCCTGGTATGGGATCCCTTGCCTTGAACAAATAATTCAAGGGGCCAACAAAATAAAATTTGTGATCAAAAGGTAAGTCTAAACATGGAGAGTTTTTTAAGAAAGAGTCCAAACAAACACCTATATGTAATCAAGCACTTGATTTCATTAAGTCGTGAGACATTTGGTCTCTAGTTACTAAATAGGGAAGTTAAATATTCTGCATAATAAAGTGGGTATTTACAATCCAGACAAATATTTCAAAATATCTTATATATATATATATATATATATATATATATCTGTAGCATGTTGACAAGTGTGAAAAAATATAATAAAAAACAGAATGAAAACTCTTCAATTCATGTTATAATAAGTAGTAGTATTTCATTTATGTCAAGAATAAGCTAATTATTTGTGTCCTGATTGCAGGCCTGAGCTGCTAACTMTCTCTTCAACTGAAGCTACTCATCGCAGGTCAAACACCTCAGGTAAGACAGGTGCTGTCTCCAAGTGGGAATGAAAGGGTTTGATGGAGAAAAGCATCTAGATCAATGCTGAATTTTTCATGAAGTAACCCTTGTGTGATGAGTGTGCTGRTATGTTCTTCATGAGGGCTGGAAGAAATAAACTGGTCACTGTGAACATGGATGTCTTCCTGGATTGTGAAATGGTCACCTTCAGACCCCCAGAGGACTGGAGTAAGCTCTGGAGYCCCTTGGCATTTCACAGCTGACCCAGGGCACTTTCAGGTCTCTGTTGGTAGGGAGTTGTTGGGGCTTACTGAAAGCATGAAGTGCCTTTAACAGGAAGAAAAATCAGTTATGGGTTTATTTCCAGTTGCCTTGAATTGATGTGCCTTGGTGCTTTCTTGCTACTGGAATGTGCAATCCAGATGTTAATGGTTTTTTTTAGGAGTATGAATCTGCTTGTAGTAATAACACAAGCCGAGATTCAGGGCTTCCTATGTTTTTACACACACATAACTTGCAAGCAGTAGTCATCTTACATCATCACAGTGCATTGTGGATTTTTTTTGGATTTGAGGAAAAAACTCCTATTCAGTAAGAAGGTACTTAAATAAAAAAAGGCTGTTTTTCTTGAGGAGCAGAGGAAAAGGCAGCATTGAGTTTGGGGCTTTTTCAAAGTAGTAACAGCARGTACCAGTGACAGCAGTGAAAAACCCAGCTAATATCCTCTTTCTGAAAGAGCAGGCAAGTAGTGATGATGATCCTTAAACCTCAAACTGTTGGAATGTACAGAATAATACTTCTTTTTTACTAGTTGTTTCATTGTATTTCTCACTGACTTGCAGGTGATTCTGGAATTGCCAGTGCCTGCCATTCTTTCTGGGGTTCAGGRTCTGATATCAGAGAGATAAACACAACAAATGTTCTCCTGGGCTTAGAGCCCAGTGAAAACTGCTTCCCCAGACAAAGGCCAAGGATCTTCTTACTGCCAATGCAAACTTAATCTTCCTAAAGAATATTAGACTTTTTAAAGCAAAATACTATTATTTTCGGAAATAGTAGTCCTGTGCCATCAACAGACACATTACTCATTGTGTGTCCCTCTCTTAACAGATGTGATTGTGTTGTTAGTTTTCAAGTTCTCATATTGAAAGAAAYGTGTTCAAATGTACCTCTGTATCTAGAGCTGGGTGATTCTCTGACACACCTGTTTCTGGTTTTCAGCGAGAGAAGATTGGAATGCCAAGATCACAAAGCTAAGAATGCAAGTAGAAGATATATTTAGTTTAAAGTTYGGTAAGTTAAATGCTAAATTAACTCTCCTGTAATGCTGCTGCATTTTAAAGCTCCACTGTTTAAATTTTACTGTATTTACTTAAGCTTTGGAAAAATACAAGGACAGATGTGGAAATCTTGAGTCTTCTTACCTATGTTTTACTTACTCTTTCCCATAACAAACATAACTATTTTTATAACAACATCCTAGGCCATAATTTTTCCAGTTGTGTGACAAGACATGATGCACAAAAGTTTTTGAATGAAAAAAAGTTCTCAGAAGAAAATATTAGGCACTGCAGGCCTATATTAGATATTATCTGTAACAAGATGGGCCAAGTCCCCATTTGCAGTTACTCCACATAAAATAATAGAAAATCTATTYAAATATTTCTGGTTTTGGGGGGCTGTGGGTGTGGAATTTTGTTASCTTTGAGTAGCAGAACTTCTGTAAGACAAGATTCTTAAAATCACTTCAGATAAAATTCTACCCATTTAAGTGTGTAATCTATCATTTGATCTTTATTTTCAGCCCAAGCTCTGGGCCTTTCAGAGACTGTGAAAGTTCCCTATTCTGTATTTGAATCAAACCCCAAGTCCTTGGTYGTTGAAGGCTTGCCAGATGGAGTCCCCTTCCGGAGTCCTACATGGTTTGGAATTCCACGCCTTGAAAGAATTGTCCGTTCGAGTAGCAAAATCAAATTTATTATAAAGAAGTATGTTTGCGATTCAGTTATTTTTACCTCTGATTTTGAAGTTCTTTGACTTTATCCCAGCAATTCTGGGCTTTAAATGCCACCTATATTCTGCTTCCAAGAAACACAAAGAATATTTTGCACATACGTTTTATCTCATAAAAGGACACACATTCTTCATTAATTTTATGTAGATGTCTAAATAGTGTGTTTCATGCATCAAGAATTGAGGGAAGAAAATGGTTTTGTATCCTTTTTTCTTTCACTTTTGTATATTTTTTACTTGAAAAAAAAATTGCAGAATAGAAAATACAGCTTTGTGTTTTCTATTTTTCTTTGGTGGTTATAGTAGAAGGAGAGTTGTCCATGCTTCTAACAGAATTTCATTGTAGAGAGCTGATATTATGTAATCAGAACTCAACTGAATTTTAAGAAATTTGTTACACTTAGTTGTATTACTTGTCTCGCAATTGATTGGATTTTTCTTTTCAACTTCTAGGCCTGAGCTTCTCACTTCCTATTTGCCTCTGAGACTGGCTAATAAAATAAAGAAGAAAGGTAAACAATTAAGTATTATTTGCTGCCATCAATTTGTAAATACTTTTTTTTCTGCTTCCCTAGCAGACTGAGAGATCTTTGTGGTTGAAAAATACAGGTGGTGTAAATAAAAGACATTATTTAACATAAACTAGCATAGTATTGCCTATATCTGCTATTATTTCAGAAAGACACTCAAACCATAAATGTATCTGCTTTTTTTACTGAAGTATTCTAGTACACTAGATGGAATTTACTCAATTTTGACAACTTTTATTTCACTTAATGGCTTCAACCATATTTAACTTAGAGCTGTGAACTACAGKAACTAATAATGATGTTTTATAAGAAAAGAATAGAAAAATCTTTTGTCCATAGAGAATTCAGATGTTAGTAAATTTTTTGTTATTTAGATAATAAAAAGTACCAAACATGTCCTTCACATTTAGAAAAAATGAAGTCTTCTGTTCTGAATTCTTGGAAAATCTAGGTGTGCCTTTTTCAAGAGTGCTAAACCTATTTTTAAGGTTGTGAGCATCACTGTATTGTTCAGGTTTTACTGTGCAGACWATACTTAGTTCAGTCTGTTGGTATTCTCAGAATACAGCTGTTTTTTTGTTAGCCGTGCAGGATTTGTGCTTCATACCTTGTGTTTTTTTGACTTCCAGTAATTAGTCCAAGGATTTCCGAAGTGTCACAAAGTTCTGCAGACAATTCAAAAAGTTCTGCAGACAATTCACAAAGTTCTGCAGACAATTCAAGTGTCCCGGAGATTGAAGTTACTATTGATGACAGTATGGAAGAAATATCCTTAAATATTCTTCTGATGTTCTTTTATTTTAGTCTTCTGATGCTTTCTGTTCTTCTAAGCTTTCATAAGTAACTTACWTCTAATGTAGCAACTTCTGTTCCACTTCAAGGCTCTAGCTATACTTCTATTCAGAAATAGTTTTATTTTTCATTTCTGAAACAAACAGGATATTGTGTAGATGCTTAGATAAAATGTTGGAATTTGACAGCTTGCTTCAGCCTGTTATTCCAAGCAAAGATGTGGCAACTGGTGTAGTACTGAGCAGAGAAATGACAGACATGATCAGTAGTATTAAGTGATTAAAAACAACTCTAGAAGAACTTCTTAAAGGCTTTTTAAAAATTCTGCTCTTGATTCAGAATTAATGATTTCCTTTGTAGTCAAGTTTGTTGCATTGTTCTTTTTTTATGATGTCTTGCTTCTGCTCTCTGCGTTATATGTGTAACATCTCTTCATAGGTCCTAGCAAAGCACAAACAACAGATGCTCGAACTAATTCTCACACCAMTTGCTCCAATACAAATTTGAGGCCACAAGGAAAAGAGTTTTCTTTTGGTAAGTGTTGGGGGAATTAGCACACATGCATTCTTTTAATGTTGGTATGGAACATCCTGATTATATATCAGATATTTCGAAATCATATTCTGTTGTACAGTTAGTGAATGATTGAAGTTCTTGCTTTTATGTACATTCAGTTCTTCATTATGTGGAGTAATCTGCATTAGAGAAATYCTGGATGATATGTGGAGTATGCTGTACAAATGCAGCACAGATCCATTAGATCTTATTGATTCAGGTGCAGAGTCAGTTTTAGATTTTTGCTGGTCTGTTACCGTGCARTGCTGGAGACCCTGGAAGGATTTTTCTGGTGCAAAATACCACCAAGTGCACAAACCCAGCTGAGATATTATACTGTCCATAAAGTTCATAAGTGCTCCACAAATTTGAAATATTGACATCACTGTGCAGTGRTGATACCCAGGTGGGATGTAGGAAACAGGAAGGATTTGAACTAACCTTAGCAAGCCATGGTCTATCAGAGCTGATTATGCATGATTGCCACGACCAACCTCTCCAGTTCTGGAAAATCAGTAAAGGAAAAGCTACAGAACTGAAAATCATGTAGTTGTATTCCTGAATGTAGGCCAGAGCTTTTTGGCCATGGAAGCCCAGACCTGTATGTGCAGTGCTCTGAAACAGAAATCTCTGCACTGAAAGCAGGGTCAATTTGCAATCCAGAAAAATTCTTCATTGTCAAGTGAGGTGAGCRGCTGCATTCAAAGTAACTCTAAGCAATTCTATATCTCAATAAGCCTTTTTTTCAGCATCCTTACATTCTGAGTTTATTTGCTYATGTTTGTATAGGAAACATGTTTGTATTTGGTTTTATTTGCTTTATCTTTTTTGACCCCTATGCTTTCTTTTTAGCTGTATAGTTGTGAAATGAGTAAGGAGTTATTTACTCTTGCTGAGCTAATTGAGAATGARTGAGATACTGGTTTGACATAGGTGGTATTCATATTCAGAATTGTGTACAGCTTTCTTGGACTGGCCTAGGCTTTTTTTTTTTTTATCTGCAACTTTTATAAACTTTCAAATAAGGTTTTAGTTTTGTAGACCAGGCACGGCCCACTTAGTATAGCCACAAGTAAACAGGTTTAGTAATTTCTGTGATGGCTGTCTGAAACAAAATGTCTATCTAGATGGGCATTTAATCTCACCACTGAAGTAGAAACTGTGCTAGAGATTAAAGCTCTTAGGAGAGAGGCATGTGTTTCAGGGCTGCGTCCCTGAACAAACAAGAAACTTTCTGCCACTATTTTGGATGCTGGTTCAGATAAGTAAATTTTATGCTGATACTGTAAACTTGGATCACTCTTGGATTAATTTTGGTTTTTGTCACCCTTTCTTTATCTAGTGGCAGTATCTTTCAAAGCTCCAGGAAAATGAGGATTGATGTGGATATAGTTTTGCAGAATGAAAGCCATTTTGCACATTTCACTGCCATAGTAAATTGGTTATTAAGCATAATAATATATTAGGCATTTATTAAAATACTATTCAAAGACTGATTCATTGTGTTAGTGTTGATCTAATTCTTCCAATTTCCTCCTGGCAGAGTTGTGGAATGCCAAAATTTCTGATTTAAGGCAGAAAGTTGATAATCTTTTTAATGAAAAATGTGGTAAGTTTGGTTTTTTG